CAAAGAAAAAATCCCTTTAATTCCTCTACCACCACCCCAACCACCCCCACCCCCAAGCTCTTTTTTTCTTCATCTCTCACCACCTCTTTTTCCGTCATCATCAACCTTCATCACACCCACAGGAGCAAAGACCACCAAAAGACTAACTTATCCTTGCAGTCTCTGTCCTTTGCCTTCATCTCCAGCCTATACCACACAACAGACAGTGGTCTAGTCTCTCTTCTAAGCCAGCCACGACGGCTCCACGCCATGTGTTTCGTGTCTGTCCCGATGTGTCGTGTCTATCCCTGTGGACTCTTGTTCAGGGCTGTCCGTCTTGTGACATGATGTCTGGGGTCCTTTTGAAACGCGCACACGATCCACTCATGTCTTTCTGATAGCGATTCCTGCGGGGTTGTCAGTTTGTCCGTTGCCAGAGAGATCTGTTGTCGATAGTGTCGGGGCCAAGAAATGATGATTGGTAATAGTAATGCAGTCGAACCTGCTCTAACGACTACGTGTCCAAGTCAATCACCTGTACAAACGACCACCTCCCTGCTCGTGAGTGATTGGCGGGTGCTCTGGTGTGGTTTGCCCCCTCTTTCCTGTCAAACATTGATTGTCTTTATCTGTCCTCCTTCTATTTTGCGTTTGTTACTCTCTTGTAACATCTCTAATCTTAGGTACTTATATTATGACCTTATTGTGTTGCTAGTGCGTTTACTGTGGGTGGTTGGCGGGTGCTCTGGTGTGGTTTGCTTCTTCTTTCCTATCAAACATCTATCGTCTTTAGGGTCTCTTGTAACACCTCTAATCTTCTGGCGCTCATATGACCTTATGCAGTTGCGAGCACCGTAAAACCTCTACTAAAACTAAACTTTTACTAAAACTGAACCTCCCTGCACCTCCCCCCCCCCCCTTTCTTCCTACGTGTGTGTTCTTAATATTATAAGGAAACTATCCAAGACGTCCGCCTGTCTAAGACAACCACCTTCCTCCCCGACAACGGATGGCTGGCTGCCTTGGTGGACAATTTTGACTGCACGTTGTTTTGTCCGTTGTGTTGTCTGACATTATGGGCGCATTTCTTTCCCCAGCGTCTGGCCGTGGACGAAAAGACGAGCATAATATGCGCCACATAGTCGTACTTAAGAGAGCGGTGCGTGACCAAATATGATAATTCGTCCCGTTATAGTATCCCAGTTTTTTTCAGTTTGCCTTTCTCTCTATGTGTGCTTTCAGTGCCATGCGTATCTTGCTGACCAAACTGCCCCGGCCGTGGATCGTGGACGAGAAGAAGGACGACGGGTATACCGCCTTGCATCTGGCCTCTCTCAACAACCACGTGGAAGTCGCGGAACTGCTGGTCCATCAGGTCTGTCGTGTTTCTGTGTGTGTGTGTGTGTGTGTGTGTGTGTGTGT